AGAGAGAGAGAGAGAGAGAGAGAGAGAGAGAGAGAGAGAGAGAGAGAGAGAGAGAGAGAGAGAGAGAGAGAGAGAGAGAGAACACTGATCCAAAATTATCCACATCCTTCTCGACTAGGATGGCAGGCACTCATCAGAAGCCGCCAGACTTGATCCAAAGACTGCTGAAAGAGTAGATTGGCTTGTGGACCCTTTTATCACCCAAAATCTTTACTTGCTTGCTTTGCTTTCTTGATTGACAAGACTGGCACCTACTCTTACCTTGTGGTTTTACAAGTCTGGTAGTTATTGATGGGATTTCGGGGGGGGGGGTCATGAACTCAGGCCCAATTTCTTTTGTCCAGTTCAGATTATATTTATTTTCTTTTGCTTCCTTGTTGACTTGGTTCTTTCTTAACTCCCTTCCCTAAGATATATTTTAGACAAGATTCCTAGTTTTTCTCCACCCAGCTTATGTGTCTACTTCCTCCTTAGGCGTGGAAGCTTCAGCCTAGCCTCACGGTGCCCTCATATTTCCAAAATTTATCTACAACAAACTCTGTTAGAAAAGGAGGTGAAGGGGGAAAAGGAAGGAGTTTTAATTTTTGTGCACTGGGAACTGAGTTGAAATTTCAGTCTTTGAAATGGATTTGTTCATTTGTCATAACTTATATTTCTTTGAATGCAACTTAAAACAAATGATAATAATTTAAAACCCTGCAAAAAAGGTGCAAAATACACAAACATTCATGACAATGATTCAAATTCACTGTCCCAGTCAACAAGGAAGCAGCAAGATGCTCAAGGTCTTTCAAAAGAGAGCAGAACTGAAGTTGTATGGATCTTGGAGAAGCCAGATTCTTGCTTCATGGGATCCAAAAGATATTACTGTTTAGGCCATATCTGAGATATGCTAATCTAGATCTTATTAGATAGATCAGTGGTTCCCAACCTTTAGGGCTTGGAGGCCCAGTGGGGTGGGGGAAAAGGAATCGGCCTGCTGCTCAAACAAATCAAACTGTGTGCCTGTGTTTGTGCACCGGCCAGCTGCTCACATGGCCCGGTTCTGAACAGGCCACAGCCCAATAGTGGACCATGGCCCAGGAGTTGGGGACCACTGAGATAGATAGACAAAATTGGAGATGAGGCAGTCCTGCAGATGAGGTAGTCTTATGACCACGAAGGGCTCTTGCAGATAAAAACCAAAAAAACATATGGCAACTGAATTGACTTACACCCATCCCTGCCTGTGCTGTCTACTTCTGGATTACATGTAGATTCTGAATAGTCTTCCAGGGCAGGCTATATGACGTTCACTTCAATGGCCCATACCGTGAATAAGTTACAGAATCCAGTTGCAGAATTCAGCAATTTCAGATCATGATGGAGAAAAAACTATTTGGTCACAGAGAGTTAAGACTTTATGATACATATAAAAAGGGTATAACAGCAATAAAACTAAGAAATAAAATAACAGTTCACTGGGTTATTTCAATATGTTGCATTACTCCACAAACCTCATCAGACAAAAAAAATATATACACTGAACCCAGAATAGTATTGAAACGAACAAGTAGGAGTCCCAACTAAATGTTGAGTTCCCCAGAGACAGAGGAATGTCAATGGGATAGAGGTCTGAAAAATCAAGAAGGCAACAGTCACCACATAATAAAAGCCCCCCAAAAGTACCTTTTTCACATACATCACATGTAAGACAAATAAAAAAGTTTGGCACTTCAATCACATAGTTGAAACCACCACTTGTTCATTGATCCAGCATCTGTCAAGGGGCTAAAAATGCTGTCCATTATTTGTTGGTTTTGGCTTCTGATAACATTGAAAATGATAATTATTATTTCTCTTTGATCTTTGCCCTCAGCACACCCTGCTTATCAGTCCATATTAACCTCAGATGGGGGAATTATTGCTACATGCTTTGTTTACCGTCTCTCCAGAGGTGCCAGTTTCTCACGCTGTGACTATAAAATCCCGTAGCTGTCCTAGAGAAGTCAGACATCATCTTCCAAGGAGCTGCAGCAATGAAGGCACTAGTGCTCGCCCTCCTCTTCCTCTTCATTGCAGCCAATGAAGCCAAAATATTCTCCAAATGTGAACTGGCTAGAATTCTGAAACAAAGTGGCATGGATAGTTATCGCGGCTATGCCTTGGGCAACTGTGAGTTTACTCTCTTTTTCTCTCCGCCTGAGCAAGATCCAGGTTTACAAGGGGGATCCAAAATGGGGCAGATCTTTCAAGAATGAGTTCAACCAACCTTCCCAATGAATCTTTTGAATGTTCTTAGAATGAGAAGACATGCTTTCTTCCCATCTCAAATGATTAGGGAAAGCTCACGCTTCTCCCAGCACTAATAACCTTGATTTTATCAAGGTGAATTTGTTGCCTGATTGGGACAATTGCAGAACAGGGGTGTGGTTATACCACCTTGGTCTCTGTACTGTCTGTTTACAATTATGACTTAGTCAATATTTTATTTACAATATTTTATTTATTTACTTAAGAATAAAGGGTTATCCCTGCCAGGATAAACTTCCTCTCAAAGATAAGGTCTTTCAAATTCCACCAAATCATTTAAATTCAGTATATGATTGAAGGGGCCATCACAGAAAATTTTCTACATATAAAATGCACAATGAAAAAGTACCTCCTCCCAGGAAGACTGGCATTAGGAAGAGAAAAGAAAAGAGAGGTGGCTTTGCATGTGATTAAGAACTCCAGGAATATCTTGGAGACAGGAGTCAGATTTATTCCAAGTTCCCTGAAGGTTTCCAAAATGTATTGGATTTCTTGAGTTCTTCCTTGAGGGAAGAATAAGAAGATAGTTAAGCATTGTGTTATAAATGCTCTTTTTTAAAAAAAAAATAGGATAGCCTTTTCATTTACAGCACAGACCTTTTATAACCCATTCCCCATTTGGTTTTTTCCAGGGATCTGTATGGCTTATTATCAGAGCAGATACAACAGCCGATTTTTGGGGCCTCAAACCTCAGATGGCAATCGCGAATATGGGATTTTCCAGATAAGCAGCCGTTGGTGGTGCAACAATTACCAAGGTCCCACAGCCAATGGCTGCAATAGGCCTTGCAGTGGTAAGACACCTAGTGTGACAGGCTTCCAAAATTCTGTTATTATTATGTTCTACAACACAATGAGGTAATATGTACTCTTTGTAGTTTTGGGGATGGACAGGATTGATATTGACTCATCAACACTGTCTATGAAAATGGTTTTGAGTTCCTGCCTGGATCAACAGTGATAATATCTAGCCACTATGCTTTCTGTTTGCCTCTTAGCCTTCTTCTATTTAGTGTCCTGTTACCCAACCTGTCACAACTACCCTAAATTCCTTCACACAGCTGTATCTTGCTTTCTGCCTGCAGAACATCCACCACAGTATTACCTAAAGAGCAAAAGGCTCATATGTGATGAGTCCCCCTGTCCCACTCACATTAACAATCTCACACTCTCTTCAGCTTCCAAAAGATTTCTTCATTTTTATTATTTTTATAAACAACTCAAGGTTGCATACATACCTAATATTCCTTCTCTCTTTTTCCTATTTTCCTTAAAACAACTTAATTCTGTGAAGTGAGTCGGGCCGAGAAGAAATGACTGGCCCAAAGTCACCCTACCTACTTTCAGTTCCAAAGTGAGACTAGAACTCACAGTCTCCTGGTTTGTAGCCTAGAATCTTAACCACTAGACTGAACAGGCAATGTGCAATGAAAAGGGTTGCTTGGTAAGAGAGTCACATGATCCTATCTTTACAGTAATTAGTCAATATCTTTCCAAAGGAACCAGTTAAAGACAGCAATTTCATCTCACTCAGTTAAGGAGCCCAATCCAGTATTTTCTGCCCTTTGTCAGAATTTAGGATTTAAGTGAGAGAGTTCCTCTCTTGCTCCTTTCCAAGAATGCAATAATACTGTCAGGAGGTCTTCATATCCATATTCAACTCCAAAGCGAAAACAAACTCCTAGTACTCTACACTTTTCAAACTTGTTACTCAACATGGTTAGGGCAGGAGGAAAGGTATTTCATGGTTTACGCCAGCTGTTTTAAATAGTAGCTTATACTGCTAATGATATGAATGTATTGCACACGGTGTATAACTATTGATGTCCTAAAGGACATTTGGGTAAGAATCTGCTTTAAATAATAAGTTTATGCAAATCTTTGAAAATACTTTTGAAGCATCTGGAGTTGGATAAATTCTAATTTGCCTCTTTCGGCAGCTTTCCTAACTGATAACATCGCAGCTGATATTGCTTGTGCTAAGAGAATTGTGCGTGATCCAGCAGGGATGAATGCCTGGTGAGTTAATCTCTCTACACTTGATCTTAGCCAAAAGGCCATTTGTAACATTGGGTAGCAACTGAACTTGTAGTCATGAAATTAAATTACTTTCTTTAGACTATTGTAAACCTTTTTAGCATTGACAGTGAAATATACTTTCTGAATATCACAGATTGTATTTTTATTGCTATACTTGCATTCTGATTGCTGTAAAATATGGGTTTAGCAGTCTTTTGATTCCTGGTTTTAAAGTAGCCTGAGACACAATTTAAGAGGGGGCTATTGATGCTGGTTATAGCTGGATTATTCCTTCCCAGTCATTTTACATCAATTTTCCACTTCCGTGCCTGTCAGCTGTTAAAAAATCTAGGATTTAGTACCGAGTTGAAGCAGGCAGCAGAATTAGGCAGAGGGCCTTTTGAACAGCAGGATTCTAATTCCATGGATGAGCTGCGTAGTATCAGAAAACTGGTAGGTAAAGAACCTAGTTTTGTGAGAAGCCAGGAGAGATCATTTGTGAAGCCTCCAGTCATAGAATGAATAGTAAAGGGGGGCACAGCAGCAGATCATTAAATGGAAAACTTTTAAGCTGAGTATCTAGAACCAAAGAATACAAATGTTATGTGATCAATAATCTGAATTATATAAAAATTATTCTGTGTGCTGTTCTAAAGAGAGTCCAAAGTATCTACTGGACATTAGTGGAATGTAAGCTTTATTGTGAAAAATAGAAAGTCAGGACTATTTTAGCTAAAACAATTATTTCAATCTGGAGGAAAGGAGATTCATTTAAACAACTAAGAAAAGAACTTTATTAGTCAATGAACAGGAAAGACGAATGAGTGATAGTTGCCACTAGCTCACTGAGACATTTCCTGAATCTCTCCAAGTAGAATTACATTATCTGAAAAATGTTTAAAAAACTACCACATATGAGATCTATAAAGATATGAATTATGCTTATTTTTATTCTTATTCCTTTCTTAAGGGCTGCCTGGAAAAAGTACTGCAAAGGAAAAAATCTGTCACAATGGACCAGTGGCTGCCGACTCTGAGATTGATGATCCTGCATTTCTCTTCCTCCTCCTGTGATGAAAATGATATTATTCCTTATATAACCACACTGAACAGTTTAATTCTATGCCTGCATTCCACATATTGGGAAGAATGAGTTTGTTTGCACACAAACAATGATTTTTAAATGGTTTCTGGGTGGAAAAGAGGGAAAGACCTTGCTTTTTAAAATCTTCAAAAATTGCTTCAATAAAACGAGCATTGTGCATTATGCCTTTTTCTGTTTCATGCTTTATTTTCTTTCATCCTTCAATATTCCAACGTAATTGAACTGGCTACCAATCATTCTTTTTTTTTTT